TATATATATATATATATATATAATACTGTTGGCTTTTTCTGCAACAAGAACACACTCTTATCTCATATTCAGTTTACAGTTGTGACAGAGTATGTTCTCCTGGGCACAGAGTGTCTAGAAAGTATGATGTCCCAGGAGACCTTTGGGTGAGGCCAAAGGCACCTCTAGATGACAGAATAGGAGCAGGCTAGCCACTGATGTCTCTTACCAATAATAATTTTATATAAGTTCGAGTATGTAATAAAGAGTTGTTAACAATACAAGCCTCTAGATATAATCTGGCACCAGAAGTCAAAGGGACACTGTGCTGGAAAAAGGGGTCCAAGGGAGAAATGGGTTACACAGGAATGGCTGATACAGAGCCTAGGAGTACACTAGTACCACACCCTCCCCCTCCCCCATGCTCCCCATGAACCAACCCTAGAGTATAAAGGGGAATGCTGAAACTGAAGGTTCAAATAGCAATTTGAGCTGTATAGTGAAAGTCACAGGGCCAGAAAAAATAAAGGAAGAATCACAGATTGCTCTCGTGCTAAGAGTTTGACGCAATGAAGCACAGAGGAGGAAGGGAAATGGGGAAGGTGAAAGCCTTGCAGATAAAATGAAAATGTCTAAAGGTCACTGTGTTCTTAGAATTAAATTTTACTTATGAGTCATACATGTTCAGGATGAGAACACGCAAGGGAGGGGAAAAGACTGGAGGGGTCCCTTCGCACCACATCCCATCTTCTCTGGCACAGTCTTCTGCTTATTAGAGAGAGAAGGGGGGTACTACGTTGTATTTGTATAGAAAAAACACATCATTGGTCTTACAGAAATGAGCTTAGGGCAACCATACATCCTGTTTTTGCTAGGAGAGAGGGGGAGGGTGTTTTGGAAATGGGACAAGAGCATTAATTTGAAGAAACCAGCCAGATGCACCCTTCTATACTCACCAGTCCACTCGGCTCCGAACCTCCCATCCCTGTCCCCTGCTCGCCAACACACACTATCTGAGGATCAGAAACAGTTGAACATGCCAGAGAGCAGGGGGTGAGGAGGCTGTCCCATTTTGAGCTGAAAGAAATATGGTCACTAACGGAGCAAGAATAATGTTGGTAGATGTCTCCTGAGCAAAGGTAACAAGATTTACAACTCACTATAAATGTGCAGGTTAACATCCCTATTTATTTCTGCTTGGGTTATCCCAATGCAGGCTATAAACTTTACTCAGACTTGCCAGTTCTCTTCAGTGAACCCACAGTAATGACTGACCATAACAATGTCCTCGCTTCCTTTATGTCTGCATGCTGCATTTAACAGAAGATGCTGACACTTTGCAATCCCCTCCAGCTTGCAACATAGACTGTACAATTATTAGCATTCTCATTCCTCAGGGCAGGTTGCAATGATTAACACAGTTAATAAACAAATGTTTTGATAGGTACTCGGGGCTCCTTGGTTTTAAACTGGAGCAGGCTTAAAACAGACAACTTGTCTGCAGTTGCATTAGAAATCCCCAGCTACTGTTATGTTCCTCTTCCATCAGTCCCTGCAACAAGCTACAGTTTTTAATAACTAATTGATGCCCTTAGAAAATTATTTTCTGTGGGAAGTCTGAGGATTGTGGGGGTCAAGCTTAGTATTTTGTTGCTGCATTTACTGCTTAAGTAAAATTCACTATCCTTGCTGTTCTTTGTTTTTCAGGCAAGGAAGGGGGAAATTAAAAGCTTAGCATCAGGCACCTCTTTGTTACCTTTTTGGTGCAGAAAGTTCTCCTTGGTAAGCCTGATTTTTGAGTTCATTTATATGATACAATTCTGTATTTTACAGATGGAGAAACAGAAACATAAATAAAATTACTTGTTCAAGTATGGTTGAAGTATTGTTATCAGGACAAAAGAAATGCTACAACACCTTCACTCCTAGTTCACAGCCCTCCTCTGCCTGTCCCAGCAGATGGTTGGTATTCACTTGTCTACACTATTTAGCTCCGCCTGTGACTGCCTCTTTCTGAGAGCTGAGGAAGGGCATTTGATATCTGAAAAGTAGGCCTGTGCGAGTCGGCTTTGGATCCAGCCACTTCAGATGGCCACGATACGATCTGGAGCTCCGGATTGGGTTTCTGCCTCGATCCGGCTGAAGTGGCTCTGAAGCTTCGCAGCCGCCTCGGAGATCCAGCCATAGGATATAATGGGGAATCAATGAAAAATCTATAACTTTGCTGGGTTTTGTCCAATTTGGATGAAATATGTAGGGATGGTAGCCTCTGCTGAGAGCATGAAACCTGCCAAGTTTCAAGGAGATCAGTGCAGGGGTTTGGGGGGAACTGCACCTGAAGCTGTGGACAAGCAAAACTCGTGCCATGGGTGACACTGTGTGTGTTAAGGCGCAGCGGGGTGACAGCTGCCGAGGTGGTGGCCCCTGCTGAGGCCACGATGCCTGCCAGCTGTTGAGGAGATGGATGCAGAGGGAGTCTGGGGCCCTGCACCTCTAGCTGCTGACAGGCAAAACTCATGCCAAGACTGTGTCTGTCCTGGGGCAGTTGATTGCCTGTATTGAGTCTTTCCTCTCCTTTGCCTAGTTTTGTAGGTGCTGATTGATGCTTGTTAAGTCGTTATGTAGTAGCTAGGTCCTGTGTATTGAGCTGGTCCCTGAGTGAATCATGATTGATTGGTAACGGGTAACACAGCAGCTTAGCAGCCAGGCCTGCAGCAGTGTCTCCCACCCCCCAAGACCGAAACAGTCCCACAAGCGCCCATGGCACCAATTGT